ATTAGATATGTGATAAATTTTTTGAGTGTAGTTCCAAAGAACCTGAATGAAATGTGGCGCTTGCGAAGATCACTCGAAGATACGATTTGACGGAACATTGATACTATTTGTATAAAACCGAAGACAACAAATCGAGAAGACTGGCAACTTTGCCAGAATCCAAGCGATAGATACACCGAAAAAAGTTTTCATGTAGCTTCTATTGGAAACGCACATGATTTTCATCCATAATCAAAATTAATGGAATTCATCTGAATTACACATAACATTTATGCAATCACATTAATTGTATGTGATTTTTCATATGAATTTCATCGACCTCTTAATATTCATGTGATTTTGTGGTGGGATTTGCTGCTATGTGATCACAGAAAAGCTATGTGACATTTACATGGATTTCATCCATTAGATATGTGATAAATTTTTTGAGTGTACAATGGCGCTGCGCTTGAGTGAAGGTGGAAGCAACGCATAGAAAAATGAGCAAATACACAAACCCTTCATCTGAGGATGTAATCTTTGCTATCAAATTCGTTCGAAGCATTTACCTTTGAGCGGTAGATGACGCAATTGTACCTGTCTCATAGCGTTCGTATGAAAAAAATGGAAGAGTTGCCAGTCTTCTTGATTTGTTGTCTTCGATAAAACCCAAATAAATACTTTTAAAAAAATTAGTTAAGATAACATATTGAAAAATGTGCTATTTGTTAGTCAAAAGTTTGAATGTTGCATTGAAATACTTTAAATCGTGTTAAATTTGAATGTTCCCTTATTTCAAATTCGTTGAACCATTCTGAACGGCCATTCCGTTGTGATTGTATCACAGTTTTGCTAATAATGTATATACACTGAAGTCTTTTTTTACACGGTTTTTTTTTACACGGTTATTTTTACACGGTTTTTAACGATTTCTCGACAACGATACAACCTATCGACTTGATTCCAATCACATTATCCGTTTCAAGCTATAGGTAATCGAATGGCATACTTAGAAAAAAAATCACAATTTTTGGTGTAAATACAGAAATTTTTAAAATATGTCTGTATGGACCATATCATGCTTTAATTACAAATGGCATTAAAATCCGATTTTTAAAAACATTTAAGCATGCGAAAAACCAAAATCTCGTAGGTTTTTTTTAAACGGTTTTTTTACACGGTTTTTTTTTTACACGGTACGTATCCCCCGTTTAAAAAAAGACCTGAGTGTATTTATATCAAGCTAAACAATGCATTAGGTCCTAAGTAACAAGGACTTCTTAGTAACATTTAACACTACAATCGATTCTCTTCATCGACTCTCTCCTTCGTTTAATAACTTGGGTACAAACCCGTTTCTTCTAGTGTATGTCATATTAGAAGGTAGATACTAGGTTCTTTCGTCGATCTGGCAATTTCCTAACATGGCTGTGAGGATGCAAAGAGAAAATCGACGAAGAGAATCTGTCAATGTTCAGCTTGATATCTTTTCCGGTACCTTGGAGTCAACAAAGTAAAAATGAAAGAAGAGCAGCAAAATGGAGCACACGCGATACGAGAATGGAGTGATGCTCGTTAAGAAAATACCCGGAGATGGGGCACTGTCTATCTACTGCACTGGTGTTACGGTTTTATGAAACGCAACTAGGAACTAAAGATCACCATATAAAGATAATGGACGTCGATGTGTCGTGGAACACATAAGAAATAACATGAGAGACTAGCAGCGATGCAGAGAAGCACAACGAGTTCACAAGTAGGCACGAAAATTGGACATGAAGGGGTTCGAAGAAAAGGGGTGTAAGTGACTTTGATCGATTCTCTTCTTCGACTTTCTTTTTCGTTAATAATTCAGCTGCAAACAAATTCCTTGATTCGTGTGCCATTCTAGATACTAGATGAGAATCTCCTTTATCAAACTATGTGGCAGAAATAGCGCAAAATCTGTTTATAAAACTGTGGCTATCAACAGAAAAAGTCGATGAAGTGAATCGATCAAAGTCACTTACACCCCTTTCATTCTAACCCCCTCATATAAGAGTGAAGAAACAGCGGAAGTTGGTGAGATCGTTTAAAATTTAAATTTTTATTATTGCTCATATTCGTACAAAAATTGTATAGGGTTTTTTTTATTTATTCTGGAAGTGTGTATACATTAGACTGATGCAACATTTGAAATTTTCGCTCCACAGTGTTTAAAAGGTTCCAAATTGGGTCCTGATTAGCCTCCCAAAATTTAAACTACTTTAGTAAGAAACTGACTTGGCATAAACCATTTCAAGTTTATATGGGAATTACTATGGGAAAACTTATGTTTTTGTTCATATTTATCTAACAATTCACCACATCAGTATGCTTTTAAAAATGAAAGCAGTGATTGTAGCAAATTTTCTCAGCTACAACTTTGTTGAAAACCACTTTTCAATCAAATGTAAGGAACAAAAGTTACGCTATCTGACCACAGCGCAGGATTGCCACCAAGCGCGAAGATTCCAAACTAAATTCAAAAAAGCCAAGACCTCCTGAAAAACAATACTGAAAACAGCAACTTTGTATATAGCAAAGATCTCGAGATGTCGACCCTGCATTTACACGAAATTCATAAGAACACTAGTGCCGCCTAGTGATTTTTTAAAAGTTGATAAAACGATGTTTTCGGCAAACAGTACACCCAGTAAGTTAATTCGGTTAGTTTCTCGACAGCAATCAAAAATGTAACTAATCTACATAGATCACTAAACGTTATAGGCTTCTGATCTATAAATAAATCACTGGGCGTTAATGGGTTAATAGTGATGCCTCAATGCAGGCATTATAGGAATACATATTTTTTAATTCGAAAATCCTTATTTCTTTATGTCTAATTATGATAAATAATTTCGATTTTGGACAAAACTTTCTACACGCCAAAAAATATGCACGTCCGATCTACGTGAAAACATAGGTAGCTTTCGTCCATACTACTTTTCACGTAACACTACCGTTAATACCATGTAGCCAAAATATTCCCATTTAGCGGCAACGTGAACAGTAAGGTAAATATAACATGATTTCCACTTAAGTTGGAAGCGAAGTGATTTTGAAAGGATATTTACTGGAAAATATTGTTCATTTTACGTTACTGTTTGCACTGTTTACTGTCGAGTCAGGCTAAATTGATCTTTTGAAAATGCCCATAAATGGTATCTTGTAATCCATCCTCTGAAATCCAAATAAAATTTAATTAGCAGTGCATGACGGATTTCAAATAAATCGAAATAATTTAAAACACCTTCAAACAGTTGCATTATGCTGTTAATGAATCACTTCTTCCACTAATAAAATCGATGCCGCCATATTGAATCACTTTTTCATACATGTAAGTCACGTAAACTCATTTTACGTAAGCACACCATAATCACACAACCGCACATAGAAGATTGATGTGAAAATGTTTTCACATTCATCATCAGCTCCAGTGAACATGACATGATATATTTATCAATTTTACTACCATCATGTAAACATGAAAGTTGAAGCATTCGAATGAAATACGTGATTTTTCACGTAGATTTCACGTGTATATGTTGTAGAGTGTACATGAGTATCACTTACTTTTAACGTGAAATTCCCTTAGCATCAACGAACATGAAAATCACGTAAATTTTATCATAATTTAATTTGCCATTGACGTGAGCCACGTGGAAATGATCGAAGTGGGATGTTAAAGAGGTTACGTGATTTTTCACGTAGCATTAACGTGAAGATTTTTTAGAGTGTATAATGCTGCATATTAGGAGTACCATTCATACTACCTACTACCGGAAGTGCCAGTCGGTCATATTTTCTTAGCGATAGAATCCATTTTATTTTGTCTATAAATATAAGGGAACTAGGGGCAAGAAGGTCACACTCAATATATTGGTATGCATGGTATTCCTATGAATCATTCTAAAAAGTTCTGTCCGAAACGAAGTCGTAAAAAAAGAGCAGGTAGGACATGCCATTTTGTAAAGAATCATCAACATTTTTTAATGGGGTTTAATTTCAATTGCAATGATGATACATGGAGACAAGGTTATAAAATTACAATTCAGTGCACAAACTTCTTGCCCATAGTTCCCCTCAGGCTTGAAATTGCTCATTACAGCTAAAATGCTATTTTTCGTTATTATGAAACAATGGGATACTATAATGATAATTTTTATTTCTAAGATGCAAGAAGAAGTGGTAAAGATTGTATATGATGTATAAAATTTGTCAATTTTGCTTTTAAAAGGTCATAACTAGCGATTAGCTGTAACGATGAGCAACGTGATGAGCGAGCAATCAGCGACCTTCTGAAAGCAAAATTGACAAATGTTATATGTCATATACAATCTTTAACACCTCTTCTTGCATCTTACAAATAAAAATTATCATTATAGTATCCCATTGTTTCATAATAACGAAAAATAGCATTTTAGCTGTAATGAGCAATTGCAAGCCTGGTTCCCCTATCCTGCCACAGTGAGCCCGGTGATAGTGAAGGAAATGTTCCTTCCTGATCTTCGAAATTCCCTTGTATTTTTCGAATCGGCTAGAGCAGCATTCGATGAAAACGACGCGGTGTTGAGGGTTGTCTCAGACAGATGTATTCTGTTGGAGTCGCACACAAATATCCAAGAATGTCTTGTCCTTCGTCGTTTGTATGTAGTAGTACCGACGATGAGCAGTCGATACCGGATAACCGACGATAAATTGCGGCTTGGATAACGTAAATCGAGAAAACCACGCTTCCAAGGAGCACGCCTTCTCTAAAACGAAGTTGATCGGTTGTTTTTTTGCTTTAAATGATTCACTCCAGTTCATTGTTAATAGTTCTATGAGGGGACTACCGTCTTAGTTATTATGTAATGGGATGTTGTGCTGTAACATATATTTCATAGTAATATTAATACTTAATGTAATAGTACCTATCAGTAGAAAATAGTTTCTAACTACAAATAGACTCCAATTAACAATTTTCCTCCGTAACGCACGCTTCATTCCGCATCATCTAGGCTGGTTGGACGACGGATTTCTCATCCCGAAGCAGGACAACAAGCAGAACGAAGACATGTGGAAGACCATGAATCCCCATCACGCTTTCACCACGGGTCGAAGGCCAAACCAAACTTCATTTGCGAAGAAAATCCGACCCAAAGGCCCCAGCCAGACCCTAAAGCAACCGGGTAAACTGAATCTCAAAAGTTTTGCCATAGTCAACGAAGCCATAGCTCGTATGAATCTGGGCGACGGACAGGGCCCCTTCCAAGGTGGCGGCGGTCAACCGATGACGGAAAAGGAAAAGAAAAAAGCCAAAAAGTTGCTGCAGCAACAGTTGGAAAATGCTCCGCTGGCAGCGCCGGAAGACGACAGCGAGGACTACGAAGACGAAGCCGGCTATGAGCAGATCAATGACGCATTTAGCGATGCGGTTAACAATGTAGCGAGTCAATTATTTACTACCTTTTCGGGAGGGCAACGAGCAGATGGCGGTCAGCAGGGAATCGATTTGACCGCTGGGAAGGCCAAACTACGGCAACGAAGGGAGAAGGAACAAAGTAAGTGTACAACATAATGTTAACCTGTATTCAGACGTTAATAATCACATAAATTTAGCTGGATCCACGTATCCAACAGTTTTCAACATTCCGGAGTACTCCGATTCGGAGAGTGATTCCAGTTCGCTGGAACGGAAACGCTCGACTGACGGATACTCTAAAATCAACCGGAAGCCTCAGGCTCACAAACGGCATCGTAAGAAGCGTACGGCCATTCCAGTGCAGCCACCGAAGATTCCCCTGGGTCCGTTCGGTGGTGGAGGAGGAGGCCCAGGCGATGGCGGTGGCCCTCCAATGATGGTGGGTATCCCCGGAGGCGGACAGCTAGGATCAGCAATCGGCATGCCAATGATGTACCAAAAGCTGAAGAATGAGAAGAACATGGGCATGGACAAAGATAAGCAGGAGGATGAATCGAGCATCGATGTGTCCTCGCCAAGGGATAACAACTCTCCAATCGTATGTTTAGCCCTAAATTATTCAAATTAGCCTTGTTGTTTACGAAACTTTTCTCAAATTTTAGTTCGGCGTCCTTCCAAAGGGGGGTGACCGGGAAAAGCTGATCACAAAGCAGAAAAATTGGTTCGGCAAGGAAATCGACAGCAGCAAGAGCAGTTCCAAAGATTCGAAAGATTCGGACTCCAATGCCAAGAAGGCGGCTGGCCGATCGAGCAAGGGAAGCAGCGGAAAGAATGCCAAAAATGCTCCCCCGGTTCCGCAGCAACCGTCGTTAGCTAGTTTTAAGCAGTCGGATAAGAATCTGGTGCCACTGTTTGTGGAGAAATGTGTCAAATTCATCGAGCTGGAAGGACTGGACTCTGAGGGAATCTACCGGGTGCCGGGCAATAGGGCGCACGTTGACTTGCTCTATCAGAAGTTCGATGAAGGTAAGATGGTGTGATGAATTTGAACTTATCTAGATGATACATTTTCGGTTTTAATTTCACAGAGGTCGATCTGGATATCGAAAAGTTGGATATTCCCGTGAACGCAGTGGCCACCGCTCTGAAGGATTTCTTTGCCAAACGATTACCATCGCTGTTCAACACAGAGATGATGGCTGAGCTGGAGGAGATTGCCGGATCGCGGCCGCTGCAAGCCATCAGCAGTCTCAATATGGAGGTGAAGACGGATAGAAGCTGCAGGTTGATTTCGTTGCGATCGCTGCTCGGAAAGCTTCCGCCCAGCAACTTTGCCATTTTGAGCTTCATTTTCCAGCACTTTGTGAGGTAAGTGGCAATATAAGATATTGTTTGCGATATCTCTAGCTAGGAAACTCGATTAGATTTTCCGGAAAAGTCCGTTCTTGATTTTCCTGAACTACGCTAAAGTCTCTATCAAATGTACTCTGGGTTTTTTTTATTTGTTCCAGTGAGTACTACAAAGTTCTCTCAGGACTTCTCTAAAGTACCCAGAACCTCTTGGAAGTTACTTGAATTTCTTTAAAGTTCTACCTGGACTTATAACTTGATGCTGAACATTGACTCAAATCTCTCCAAAGATTTTCAGGGGTTGCCCATTAACGACAACCAAGGGACTGCTGCAACTCACTGATGTTATCTAGATACTTGTTCGCTGGATTTAATGGAAATTTGTTTTCTCAGAAGTCCTTCCTGAATTTTATGAAGTTCCTAGTTTCCTTCAAGCGTGTCCAATCGTCTCTGAAGTTCAGTTTTGGAAACAAACTGTACAAGAGAGAATCCTAAAATCTATGAATATGATGGTTCTCTGCTGATCACAACCAAATTACGAACTAATTCGAAATCAAACCTTTCTTCGCTACATTGCAGGGTCTCGGAAAACTCCAAGCTGAACAGCATGGACAGCAAGAACCTGGCCATTTGCTGGTGGCCCACGCTCCTGCCGATCGAGTTCACCGACATGATGCGTTTCGAAACGATGCGCCCCTATCTGGAGGACATCGTCCAGACGATGATCGATCAGTTTCCGTTTCTGTTTTGCGGCGAGGAGGCATTTGTGATGGTTTGATGCAGCGACCCGCAGCGGCAGCAAGAGGAAGGTTAATGAGCGAACGCGCGAGAGTGTTTAAAACGAGTGAGTTGTTGATTAATTTTTAGTTTTGCGCAATTTCTTCGCAGCATGCAACAAAATCTATGGGTTTTTCAAATTTTGTCCGGCTCTAATAAGGCGAATAGTATTATTTTAATTTGTTTGCGCAAAAAGAAACGTTTTTAGCTAGGCATTTAGAACGGAACAAATCAATGTTGAAAAATGTTTTACCTTCTTCTTACTAAAAAAAAAGCTGTAGAACTCAAACCAGCAGTGAATAGGAAGAAGTCATGTATTTATACTAACGCTTTTAGGTGAGGAAAAAAAACGAAAGGAATGATTAAGAGGAGGTGCTTACTTTTCTTTACGTCCTATTGTGTAGGTTGAAAAGCGAATCGCAAACACGTAATTCGATCCAAATAAAAATCGCTAGTAGGAATATGTACGGATGCACCGATATTATTCCGCTGTATATGTTCATATTTATTAAGGCAAAAGAGCAAAACTCGGAAGTGGTTTTTAGTTTGCTATATATTGTTTAAATGAAGCGACAGGAAAGCTTAGAAACTTGCTACTTACTCCGCAGTCGTCGAATCGTGAAAATCAACCAACAACATTCTTTAATAGATTCAGAGATATTTTTAACTGGTTTATCAGTGTATTTGAACAAACTATGGGAAAGTAAGAATATTTGTATATTTACCTGTGTATATTTTTAAGGCAAACAGTAATATCGCTCTAAATAGTAGTAGTGGAACAAAATGGAGGAAAACATCGTCTGTAAACTGTAGGATCGTTAAGTCAAAACAACTAGAAGGAAAGCATGATAAGAATGTTACAAATATGTGGTGATAAATTTGATATATACTTTCAGTAGATTTTAGTTACTGTGCTTACGAATCAGGTCCTCGAAACCGATCGATGCTGGTGCGGCTCGCTTGGTCGGTGTTGCCAAATCATCTTCGTAAGCAAATTTTCCCATTCAAATCAACCACAATTGGGTGAACAAAACATGAATGTTTAGAAAAGTTCCTAACTGCTTTTAGTTTTTTTTTAATTTCTAGTCGTTTACTGCACTAAATTGGCTAGCGGTGAAATTTGGCAACACTGTCCAATTGTAGCCCTAGCAGGTATGCAATACTTCAAATCAATTAATAACGAACAACCACAAACTTTGACCTTGAGACTAACTAACACAACGTGCCATCCCACATCAACACGTAGACGTAGTCTCTCCACGTAGTGTACTTCCCCCTGCCTAATTTACTCATTTAGGTACGCAAACTATTATGTAGGTACTCATAGTAACCGAAAGAGGCCCCTCAGAACTCATATACTCAGCGAAAAAACTAAAATAAAAACGCTTCCCCTACTACAACAGACAAAACTCATCAACTTAATTCACACTGAATGATTTCAACCACAGAAACGAAAACGAACACGTCCTTCCTTATTTAAGAGAGAAAATTAAACGAATAGAATATACAACAAGGTAATGGAACTAAATTTGCAAACTTTATTTTATGCTTTATTTACTTACGTAGCAAACAGCCCTATAATACCTATACAAACTAGGAGACAGACTCTGAAAGTGATTGTCCGTGAACATAGTGAGAACAGTGATGCGCTTCTTATGTAATGTGTATATTTTTGTTTGTTTTATTTTTTTAGTTTAGATCAAAGCTGAAAGTTTATTTTTTTAACATACTTTAGTAAACGACGCGAAAATCTAGAAACTAGTTGTGTATTGTAAATGTGAGCAAGCGAAGAAAGAAGAAAACAGAAAATTTCACAGCAAAAAGGGTCATTGTGTTGAAAACAGAATAGAAAGTGTGAAGAAATCCTCCGTTCTTTAGATAGAAGATATTTTTCAAATAAAAAAAGAAACGATAACAACAAACTGACAGAGAAATGTGCACAGTCGAAGGATGCAAGTGCAAAACTTATTGAAAAATTTGGAAATCTTGAAATGGGAATCAATTATTTAAAACCAAAGGCGGTCAGTGTGCTAAAAAGATCGGCTTAAAACACGAGTGGGTACTATTATGGATCAGTGTTGAATGTGTTAGAACGGGTGGTTTCCTACTTAAAGCATATTAATCAGAATTAGTCATGCACGGCTTGAGCAATGCACAATATATTTCAACAATCAGAAGGCTGGCTTCACCTTGACCTGCAATCCAGGATACAACGAGCCTCACTAATACTATCTTACCCTTAGTCCACTTATACTATCGACAGGCGTACAATGTACACCGGTGAACTGCTTTAAAGTGATTCCTTGAAGAGGCCGTCATGATGGCTGATATGAAATTCGAACGCCCTGTTTGCTGCACTGCAGCGCACCAAATGTAAAGTTCCAGTTTCGTTGTTGTGTTTTGTGGGAGCTGATATTTGTAGTATTTGTGGGAGTTGATAGTAAGATCAGAAATGAGGGGGTTAGAAGGAAAGGGGTGTAAGTGACTTTGATCGATTCTCTTCATAATTCAGCTGCAAACACATTCCTTGATTCGTGTGCCATTCTAGGTACTAGATGAGAACCTCCTTTATCAAACTATGTGGCAGAAACAACGCAAAATCTGTTTATAAAGCTGTGGCTATCAGAAGAGAATAATCGATGAAGAGAATCGATCAAAGTCACTTACGCTCCTTTCCTTCTAATCCCCTCAAATAAGGTTGATTCAAAACGTACAAAGGCTTCATTCATTATTTCATAAAATTCTCTGGATATAAAAAGTTAGAGGCAAATGAATGTACATAATTTTCCATGCCTGCCTGAGCGTACTTAACTTCATTTTCCTGAGGTTCCACTATGTAGCTAGCCCGGACGATCCCGTTTAAATACGCGTGGCTTAGCGCCACTCCACAAGGAAGACCACACGTCCAATTTTAATTTGCCCGGATGAGACTCTCCTAAGGGCGAATCCATTAATTCCTAGAAAGGATTTATGGATCGTTCCAGACAGCTCCCAACTAAACGACCAAACGGGAATTCCCTATTATCCCCATGAATTCAAACTCAAGAAAGTCACTCAGAGAAACGGTAGTGCACACGCAATCCCTAAAACTCTACGAGAGAGCTAGACGTCTCCCTAATCTGGTAGTGGAATGTACTTCTCAACATTCAAACTCAACAAGAGGACGGGTAATGAAAACTAACACGAACGCGGAGTGATGTCAAATACATGAGCATGATTGACCGCCCACGGTTGCTACTCTGTTATTACCAGACCAGCTGTAATTACACAGAGAACCAATAGACGATGCTTGGGACTAGCAATCATCCTCAATGTGTAAAAACTGGTGATCTCAAACTAGGCAATACCAGCGCCGGCCGCGCCCGAACACAGGTCAAGAAAGGAAGGGGTAGGAATGCGTTGACGTGACTCGCTTTGATGGAAGCCGAGAATACCTCTGCACTCCCACGAGGAATCACTGGGATATTGGGTAATAGGGTTGGGTTTATAGCAGGGTTCGTTTTGGTAAACAATAAGCTGAATTGATATCCTAACAATCATATAACGCAAAGGAGCTTGGGATTGAACCCACGGTCTTCTGCTCAGTAAGCAAAAACGTTTGCCGCTAGGCAGACGAGCTCCTTTTTAATCATCGAGTTACTGTTATTACCATGTAGTCATGTTAACAAATAAAACGATTGACAAATCTTGAATGTGGATGGGCTTGAGATTAGACTCATGATGTTCTGCTCAGTAAGCAAAAACGGTTGTGCTAAGGCCACCGAGCCCCTCATATCACATTATAGCGTTACTCAAGTTTTTATGACTATTCAGACAGGGCACCGACGATAACGAAAAGTTTTACAAAATACACGATAAACAAGCGATCTAACCATAACATACGATTCCCTGCCATAATGCGTCTTTGAATTTCTCTGCTGGTATCATTTTCGGCGGTCACCAGTGAGCCCAAATACACGAACTCATCGACCACCTCGATTTTGTCACCGTCAATCTGAACTCGGGGTGGTAGGCTAACATTGTCTTCCCTAGAACCTCTTGCTTTCATGTATTTGTCTTTGATGCGTTGATGGCAAGTCCAATCCTTCTAGCTTCAGCCTTCAGTCTGATGTACGTTTCCGCCATCATCTCAAAGTTCCGTGCCATAATGTCAATGTCATCGGCGAAACCAAGGAGCTGGATGGACTTCCTGAATATCGTGCCACTCGTGTCTATCCCAGCTCTTCTGATCACACCTTCTAACGCGATGTTGAACAGCAGACACGAAAGTCCATCACCCTGCCGTAACCCCCTTCGAGATTCAAAGGGACTCGAGAGTGTCCCCGATACTCGAACAACGCACATCACTCGATCCATCGTCGCCTTGACCAATCACGTCAGTTTATCCGGAAATCCGAATTGTCGTATGCGGATTTGAAATCGATGAACAAATTATGTGTGGGCACGTTGTATTCGCGGCATATCTGCAGAACCTGCCGAATCGCGAAAATTTGGTCCGTGGTAGCGCGGGCACGCATGAATCCCGCCTGGTATTGCCCCACGAACTCTCTTGCATATGGTGACAGACGGCGGCATAGAATTTGGGAGAGTACCTTGTAGGCGGCGCTCAGCAGTGTGATCGCGCGGTAGTTGCAGCAATCCAAATTGTCGCCCTTTTTGTAGATTGGGCATACAACACCTTCCATCCACTCCTCCGGTAATATCTCCTCCTCCCAAATCTTGGCAATTACCCAGTGCAGTGCTCTAGCCAGTGCTTCACCACCGTATTTCAATAGCTCACTTGGTAGTTGATCTACACCAGTTGCTTTGTTGTTCTTCAGCCGACCGATCTCCTGCTCAACTTCTTGAAGATCAGGGGCCGGTAGCCTGTCGTCTTCTGCGCGTGCTCCAAGGTCTGTTGCCGTGCCACCTTCGTTTTCTGCTGCTTCACCGTTGAGGTGCTCGTCATAGTACTGCTTCCACCTCTCAATCACCTCACACTCGTTCGTGAGAAGGTTACCGTCCAAGTCCTTGCACATATCGGCTTGCGGCACGTAGCCTTTGCGCGAACTATTTAGCTTCTCGTAGAACTTCCGTGTGTCGTTTACGCGGTACAGATTTTCCATCGCCTCGCGATCTCGGTCTTCCTGCTGACGCTTCTTCCTTCGGAAAACCGAGTTTTGTCTGTCCCGCGCTTGTCTGTATCGCTCCACATTCAATCTCATGCGGTGTTGCAGCATTCTCGCCCGTGCTGCATTCTTCTCCTCTACTAACAGTTTGCATTCGCCGTCAAACCAGTCATTTCTTCGGTCCGGGATTGCAGTACCTAGTGCCGCTGCAGCAGTACTACCTATGGCTGAACGGATGTCCCTCCAGCCATCTTCAAGAGAAGCTGCGCCAAGCTGCTCTTCCGTGGGTAGTGCAACTTCCAGCTGCTGCGCGTAGTCCTGGGCAACTCCGGTGTCCCGTAGTTGCTCAATGTTGGGTCGTGGCGTTCGACTTCGACGTGTGTTATGCACCGTCGAGAGTTTTGAGCGCATGCATACTGCAACTAGGTAGTGGTCCGAATCTATGTTCGCACTGCGGTACGTGCGGACGTTGATAATGTCGGAGAAGAATCTCCCGTCGATTAGAACGTGATCGATTTGGTTTTCTGTGTGTTGGTCAGGTGATCTCCAGGTGGCTTTGTGGATATCCTTGCGGGGGAAAAAGGTACTTCGAACTACCATACCCCGGGAGGCTGCAAAGTGCACGCATCGTTGGCCGTTGTCGTTCGATACGGCATGCAGGC